CGGTCGCCCCGCCTGGGGGCCCGATGCCTGTCACCCCCCGCCTGGGGGCCCGATGCCTGTCGCCCCGCCTGGGGGCCCGATGCCTGTCGCCCGCCTGGGGGCCCGATGCCTGTCGCCCTCCTGGGGGCCCGGCGCCCGCCGCTCCACCTGGGGGCCCGATGCCTGTCGCCCCGCCTGGGGGCCCGATGCCTGCCTCGCCCCGATGCCTGTCGCCCCCGCCTGGGGGCCCGGCGCCCGCCGCTCCGCCTGGGGGCCCGATGCTGGTCGCCCCGCCTGGGGGCCCGATGCCGGTCGCCCCACCCGGGGGCCCGGTGCCTGTGCTCCGCCCGGGGGCCCGGTGCCTGCTGCTCTGCCCGGGGGCCCGGTGCCTGCTGCTGCCTGCCTCCGCCCGGGGGCCCGATGTGCCTGCTGCAGCCCGCCCGGGGGCCCGATGTGCCTCTGCCCGGAGTCCAGCCCGATGTGCCTCTGCCCGGAGTCCAGCCCGATGTGCCTCTGCCCGGAGTCCAGCCCGATGTGCCTCTGCCCGGAGTCCAGCCCGATGTGCCTCTGCCCGGAGTCCAGCCCGATGTGCCTCTGCCCGGAGTCCTGCCCGATGTGCCTCTGCCCGGAGTCCTGCCCGATGTCCTGCCCGGAGCCCGATGTGCCTCTGCCCGGAGTCCTGCCCGATGTGCCTCTGCCCGGAGTCCAGCCCGATGTGCCTCTGCCCGGAGTCCAGCCCGATGTGCTCTCTGCCCGATGTGCCTCTGCCCGGTGCCTCTGCCCGGTGTGCCTCTGCCCGGAGTCCTGCCCGGTGTGCCTCTGCCCGATGTGCTTCTGCCCGGAGTCCAGCCCAATGTGCCTCTGCCTGGTGTACCACTGCCCGGAGTCCTGCCAGGTGTGCCAGTCTTTGATATCCCGCCAGTTACCAGACCCGGGCGGTGGAACATTTTTCCCAGCTAGGACTGTTTGGAGCGTCCTGAGGCCGCTCCTTGAGGGGGGGGTACTGTCAGGAATGGACTGGCCAGCAATGGTGGGACTCACCTGCCTTTTGATCTGCAGTACCAGGGCTGGCCAGCGGGTGCTCCCAGCAATCAGAGACTCAACTTTGCAGCCAGCTAACACCTGGAACTGATTATGCTGGGGTATTTAAGGGATGGCCAGACCCACAGACTCTGCCTTGGTGTGTGTTTGTCCTGGGCCCTGTATCTGTCCTGCATCCTGTTTCTGTTCCTTTGCTGACCCTCTGTACTACGCTGCTTGCTACCTGTTCTGATCCCTGGCTTGTGACCCTGACCATCCCTCTGCTTGACCCTCTGTACTACGCTGCTTGCTACCTGCTGAACCCTGGCCTGTGACCCCGACCATTCTCCGCTTGCTCCCCCTGTACCTACCTGCCCAATTGATATTGACCCGGCCTGCCTGACGACGCTTGCTTGTATGTACTGTTATCTGTGGGTGGTTGGTTTGGTTTGTTTGCACTGTATTATGTTTAGTATTGCACTGCGTTTATGTTTGTATTGTTAGTGTTAATAAATTATATTGTTTATCCCATATCTGAAGTCTGCGTTTCCCTGCGTCAGTCACACATCTCTGGTCATACCTGGGAGCCCTGACAAGGCCTCTGAGCCCAACAGGGGCTGTGGTTACGGGAGATGGCAGGCTCCGGGGTCAGCAACGTGAGGCCCACTCCCCAAGTCACTGTGGGGGGAGCTAATGACAAGAGGGCACCCGCATCCCCCACTCACTGTGACCAGATGGAGGCTCCAGGCAGATGATGTAGGATTTAGAAGCTTGGCACCGGAGCCCTCCGGATTATGCGGCCGCTCCGGCCGCCATCTTGGCCACACGCCCCCTATAGACGACATTTTACTATTGTGGCAGGGAGATGAATTTCTTTGATGGACAAATAGACGACATTTTTTTCACTACACTTAATTTTAACAACCTAAATATTAAGCTCATCTACCAGTACAATTACAATGAAATCAATTTTTTAGATCTCACGCTTTTTTAGCCAGGGCACTGGGATTTTAACTAAAACTTTTTTTAAGGCTACGGATAAGAACAGTTACATATCCATGGATAGCTGTCACCATCCTAGCTGCTTTAAACAACATCCCCAGAGGTCAATTTCTCAGACTACGTAGAAATTGTAATCTAAAGGAGGACTATATTGCACAAGCGAATGTCCTCAAAAGTAGATTTATAGAGAAGGGGTATACCCCAGCTATCCTGGATGAAGAGATTGGAAAAATTGCAGACCTAAATAGAGAGGAACTTTTCACCCCTAAAACTACTTTGAAAACTGGAAAGTTTTGCCCCTTTTATTACAAAATTTTCTTTCCAATATAGGGAAGTAGCTAAGATTATCAAGAAAAATTTCAACATTCTGAAGAACGATTCAGTTCTAGGCAATAGTCTGCCTGACCATCCTGAGATAATATACCGTAAGGCACCTTCACTAAAGCATACCCTGGTGCCTAATGTGGTTAACCCCCCCAAGGAAGTTACTTTTGGCTTTGGTCTGAAAGGCTTTTATTCTTGTAATAGGTGCATGCTATGTCTCCACAATGGTATTCGGAAGAAACCCATACATTCTTTTCACTCTAATGTGACTAACAAAAAGTATGATGTAAGACCACTCATACTGTGTAACAGCAAATATGTGGTGCATCTATTAGAATGCTCGTGTTCTAAACAATATATAGGAAGAACTACAAGAAAATTAAGAGAGCGACTTAGAGAACATCTGTATAACATTAAAAAAGGATTCAAAGAGCACTCACTTTCAAAACAGTTTCATGACCACCACAATAGGGGCCCGCCTTGCCTTAAATTTATGGGAATAGATATCCTAAAACAGCATTGGCGGGGTACACATCAACAGAGGACCATTTCTATGATGGAAACAAAATGGATTTTTGAGCTCCAGTCACTTACACCACAAGGCCTGAATGTTGAGCTCAATATAAATTGTTTTATTGACACTAGTTAAAACTGATTATGAGTGGCCCTTAGTAACACTGTTTTGCTCTATTTTTTAACTTCTATTTATTTATGTATGGCATTTTAGGAGTAACTGTAACCATTGGATGTTAATATTTATCTAGTTTTTAGTTATCCCAGTGCATTTTATTTTTATTTCATTTTTTAAAATTAATACAGACTGACATTTTATATCTATATATGATTTTTTCAGACAAGAATTCTCAGTCGCCTATTTACAATATATATTAGAAATAGAATATATTAGAAGAACCCATGGTGCTGATTGTTGGGGCAAGGTCAGATGAGTCTGGGCATTTAAAACCTTTGAGATTGACATCACCTGGTCTTCCCAGATGATGATTGAGAACAATCCATGACACTGGCAGGTCTCAGCTTTGCAAAGGGGGCAGTACAAGATATTAACTCTGCAGGGTGCCCAAACTTTTGCAGACGCCATTTTTTTGTTTTCTGTTATTTTGAAAGTGTAAATGATGGAAATAAAATCTAACTTTTGTTGACATATTATAAGAATGTCTAATCTGTAATTTGATGCCTTTTGGAGATTTTTCCATCTTTCCTTGGCTTCTCTATGCACATTAATACAAATTTTTAGCTGGGGTGCCCAAACTTTCAATCCCCACTGTATATATCACTTCACTGGCAATGGCAAGGTTCCTTTGAAAACGTGCAAGTGCACGAAATGCATTACGGAAGAGCCAAGCCAGTGATATCAGACTGACTGAGCCACGAGGCTTTTATCTGATCTCCAGATTGGACTGAGCATAATCAGCTGACTATACATGCATTTATCTATACGCAGTTTTATGCGATTTACATGTTTTTTATATATGCTTTTATATTTCATGAGGTTATATAAGGTGTGTTATATCTGAGTGCTGCATTTTTAGATACTATTGCTGTACGAGGGTTGGAGGTTTAACCTTTTATGCCAGCTGCTTTTTTACACTATTATATGTTCATGCATTTCTAGCACTCGTTTACTATTTTTTAGCCTTATATGGGGCTCAGAACAGTAAGACTTCATTTGCATTTGCAGTGTGGGGGTGGTAAAACTCCATTGTTAAAATTTTTACCACTAATGCCCCAACTTTAGCTGCAGTGGTTAGGGGTGTACGCATGTTGCAGCCACAGCAGGATTTATATGCCATGTCATAGTTGGTGGATGTAACAAATGCCAAACATCACCAATTCAAGTGAATGAGGCTGCTCCGCAAGTGCCCTGCAACCTTGTGCAGTACAACAAGCAGGCACAAAGCAGGCAGCGTTGCGTTGTTTTTCTCACCACCTGCTTTCCACCCTTGGACCCCACAGAAGCATGAAGTTGTGGGGTGCTTGCAGAGTGGCCCCATTAATGTGAATGGGTCATGGTTGGCAGGCGGTATCAACCACCACAAGCAATGTGGGGTTTAATTCCTTGGCTGCTGCCTCAGCAGCTAAAGGGGTAGGGATTAGGGGTGCTAAAACCGCAATTCAGCCGCAGGGTTTTACCACCCCCAAACTTTACGTGTGAACAAGCACTAAGGGCGCTGCTTCCGAATGCAACTAAGGGCTCATTCACAAGGGCAACAGGCACTGCTGCTCCTCTGAAAAGTGATTTGAGTGTGTTTCACAGGTGGTAAGGAGGTGATATGTTTCCTGATTTCAACCCATGATTGCCATGCAATGCAAAAGATTGTGACGTGTAGTACAGCAATTACAGGTTTAAATCATGTGTGAGGAGGCGACACTGTGCCCGGTGATCTTTTACTTTAGGTAGATTGCTCAGGTAGATCTCCACCTCTTTAAGGTTGCCTATCTCTGACGTATAGCAAGGGCAGTGCACTATCCAACTTTGGTTAAAGCTGCACAGTTTGTTTTTATCTACAGATGCTCCTTAGCTGCATAGCCAGTTTTTTTGGTAAAAGTGAAAAATGCCTTTAAAAGATTTAACACCATGAACACAGGGTATCGGTACCTTAGTCCTAGTTCACACTGCTGCTGCTTCATGTGTGACATGCGTTTTACAAATCACACCTGAAATCACATTATTTCTGTGGCTGTCATAGGTGCGTTTTCAAGAAGTGCATTTTAAAAAATATTTCCTGTATTACTTTTTCACCACTTTGGTGCGATTTAACGCACATAGACTATAAGTTAAACCTGTCATTGTGTGATAAAAATAAAATGAAGTGAAAAAAGTGTAAATAGTTAAACTTATACCTAAGCACCTAAGCCCCCCCCCTTGAATTTTGAGGTCCACTCACCACCTTATGACCATAAACACGTGCTGGGGACATCTATGCACAAAATTGTTGATTTCACCAAGCATGAAATACCAGTGCGCATACCAGTGTGAGAGTAATATTTCAAGGACCATTATTTACAGTCAACTGTAAACAGATGATCTGTACAGGGGCTTTTAAATCCTCGCCTGTTATCTATTTGCTCAGTGCAAAAACATTTTTTTACAAAAACATTTGTAATATATTGCTTTTGGGTTCTCTAAAATTAACTTTAATATATTTCTTAGTAAACATTTGGCCTTGATGAACTGTTGCTCTTATATCACGTAACCTAAAATTACACAGTTTTATTAACTAGCTCCGTTCCTCACCAACCGGACACACCCGCA